ACTTAATCTGTAGAGTTAAATAATTCATGTTGATTTAAGAAAGCTCATTCCTAATGGGGCACACGTGAAGGCAGAGTTAATATTAGAAGAGGCCATAGAGGGGGAGGAGACAGGGAATTAGACTATAAAAGGTGAAGGTACAAGTTAATTGCCTATCAATTATTCACCTTAAGTCTCTGGAAGTAGCTACCCTGTCTCCCTCTCACACCCTTATATCCCCGTATCCTGATAGTCACCATGTTCCTGCTGGCATCTCTGGGACCAATCTTTTCCCTGTGCCAAGCTAGTGGAATCTGGGAGCTTCCCAGGTCAGCCCATGGTACATGGCAGGGCTGGAGGTGTCACGTCTCATGCTGGGGAGGACAGATAAAGACAGGCTTGAGATGATTCTGCCAAAACTCTAGTGAAGGGGAGGAACCATCTAGCTTCCCAACACCTCATCATCCATCTTCTTCACTTCATCACAGCACGTTAAGGGGTTGGAATGGACCTTAGAGATCATCCAGCCCCAACCCCACCAGAGCAGGTTGCCCAACCTGGCTTTGAGCACTGCCTCTCTGGGCAACCTGTGCCAGTGTCTCACCACCCTCACAGGGAAAACTTCTACCTAAGGTCTAATCTCAATTTTCCTATTTCAATTTATCCCCATTCCTCCTTGTCCTGTCCCTGCAGTTCCTAACCAAGAGTCCTCTGCAGCTTCCCTGGAGCCCCTTCAGCTCCTGGCAGGTTGCTCTGAGGTCTCCACACAACCTTCTCTTCTCCAGGCTAAACAGCCCCAACTCTCTCAGCCTGTCCTCATAGAGAAGGTGCTCCAGTGCTCTGATCAACTCTGTGGCCTCCTCTGGACTTGCTCCAACAGTTCCATATCCTTCTTATGTTGGGGACACCAGAACTGTGTGCAGGAATCCAGGTACTTGCCCTGGCCTCCTCCATGCTTGTGCTGATCATGGTCACTATGGATTGATGTGTCTCAGCACTGCAACCACATCATCATAATGAGCTCCTGTTCCCCTGTCCCCTGTTTGCCTCCCCTCTGCTCCCTCCTGGGGAAGCCAATGCTCTCTTCAAAGTTCCTCCTTGCTTGGCTGCCTCCGAGATCTGGAATTCAGCACTAATTAACGTGTGTGCAAATCCCAGCTCGGCTGGGGGGGCCTTGAATCCCTTCCCTGTTCCCCCGAGTGCAGAGGCCTCCAGGAGCTACCCCTCTGGCTCCTTAAGCTGCCAGGCTGGCAGATGTAGATTTTCACAACACACATCTGGTGGCTGTATAATCTCTTGTATTTGCCCTCCCTGCTCCAAGCTTTGCTGCAGGACCGGAGGGAACTCTCGGGTGGCTCCAGCGTAGTGTTTGCTTTGCAATTTCGCTCCATTGCTGCCTGATTTTATTTTCAAATTTCTTCAAGTCCTAATCAGGCTCTTACTTTATTTAATTAATATCCAGGCTTAGTTAAATAGATCATAAATTAAGAAACTGCCATTAAAGATGTACCAGGTAGCAAATAGCCCTCTGGTGACTTCCCAAAGCCTGCCTGGCTTGGGGGTCCCCTGCCAAACTGCTGCTCTGACATCCTCTGCTGGTAGAAAACCTGGTTGCCTTCGTATCTCTCAAATCCCATCCCATCAGTCTGATCAGCCTTCCCTGCTGGAGCAGGAGCAGATGCCCCTAGGAGAGAGGGCAGCAGCTCCTTCCCCAGCCAATTTGGACAATGGTAGGAGGGAAGGTGAGTGAGACCTGGAGAAGGGTATGTGCTCCAGCTTTGGGATGGGTTATAGCCACATTCCCAAGAAATATTTGTCCCTGAGACCCCCAAAAAGAAAAGATTGTCCCTGAGATCCCACAAAGGAAAGATTTTCCCTGATGCTGATGGTACTAATAGGCTCGTCTGTTCGAATGTTTGGACTTCCAAGGCTATGGAATGATCTGTTCCACTACATTTAACCATGTAGATTTGAAAACAATGTGACAAAACCTTAAATATTTAATTACAATATGGTGTAGCTCTGCATCTGAGCAGGGAAGTAGGAGGCATCAGCCCCATAAAGCTGTTGTCAGACATGAATGACAGCAGTTGGAGCCTGGATTGGGAGGCATTAGGGGATTTCTTGATACTACAGAAGTGGAAAAGCTGGCAAGGACAGACAAGGCAGCACCAATCCTTGCAAAAAAACCAGGTAAGATATTTTCCAGAGCCAAGGCTGGGGGTGATAGACTGGGATGGGATTTCTCAGAACTGTCTCCAGCACCCAACTGGCTGATGAGTCCCTCCAGTTGCTGGCAAACCCAGCAGACATTGGACTCCCAGTCACCAGAGCCTCCTTCCTGGTCACCAGAGCCTCCTGGTTACTGGAGCCTCCTGGTCACTGGAGCCTCCCTAGCTGTAACAAATCAGAGCTGCAGTTTGCACCCAGATTCAGGGATGCCTTATGGATCCTCTCCTACCCAAGTGATGCCTGCAGCCTCAGGTGACACTGGGCACACTGGGATGAAGGAACGCCCCACAAGCATCTTCAGGTGAGGTAGCTCAGGAGCCTGTGACATCCCTTCCCAACCCAGTGAGATGAAACCTGGGAGATCCACATCCCTTCAGAGACAGCTGCTTAGCTCACAACTAAAGCAGGCTCATGCACCCAAGGGGAGAGATATCTGCACAGCTGGTGGCACTGCACATCTGGAACGGCTGAAAACATCTCTCCCTTCTCCTGTGCAAACACATGTTGCCTCCGTGACGCACAGTAAGTTCAGCCTGACACACTGTCACCAGCTGGCAGGAGCCAGAGCTGCATCCTAAAACAGGGGGTGTTGAGGCATCTACTCTTGTTGTGCCACTTCTAGTCCCTCCCTTGGGGTGGCTAAAACCCCAGTGGGTTAGCCACAGACCACAGACCCCTCCATGGCAGCATCTGCCCTTGCTGCCTGCACAGCAGGACACCTCACCCCACCCCAAAGGTAACACAGTGTGAGCTGCTGATCACCAACCATTCCCAGCCCCTCAATGAGGGTAGCACGATCACTCCTACCTCCTCGACCAGCTGAAATTTCAAAGAACCATAGATTATCCTGAATTGGAACACAAGTTGGATCCACAAGGATCATCCAGTCCAACTCCATACCCTGCACAGGACAACCCCAACAATCCCACTATGATCCTGAGAGCCTTGGCCAAGCACTCCTTGAGCTCTGACAGGCTTGGGGCTGTGACAACTTTGTTTTCCTCAGAACCTCTGCATAAATACATCTGAAGTGAAAGATGAGTTCCTGGCAGGTTCCAAACCCCCATTTTCTCATCGATTTGGCTTAAGTTGAACACGCTGTAACTTTAATTTTCTTAAAAGGAAAACACTCTGCAAATATAAGTTGCTGAACATCTTAGGTAAATGTACCAATTAGCAACTACCATGTATATCCACATAAACATTAACTACCATCTACTCAACACATTCCATAACCCCAAAGATAATAACGATTTCCTTTTGATCCATAAAAACATCTCTCTGCTCAATCAACGCTTCGCGGCGGCTCTGACGTACGCCCTGGGACTAAATTAGTTTGGAAATCTTTAGCTCTAATTAAATAACATTATTTCTTTTGTCTGGCTCCAGCAATGTGTTCTGCTTTCACAACAGAAGGAAGGAGCCTGGGTGAAGGAGGGGCTGCCGGTGAGGGAGACGACGTTCGCTTTCCCATTCATTTGCACAAGTCTTTCATGTGTGGGCACATGTTAGAGCTCAGAGCTGCTGCCAAGGGTTGATTGAGCAGAAGGCTGGATCAAAGGAAAATCATCATTATCGTTGGGGTCAGGGAAAGAAGGGATGGCACTTGTGGAAATCTGGGGGTAGGGAAGTCTGGAGGGTTGTGGAGAGAACAACAAACTCAGGGGAAATGGCAAACCAGGGATTAGAACTCTTTGGTGCTGAGGTGCAGACCCTAATTAGGTGCAGACCCTGGTGAGATGGAGACTGTGGTGAGGTGCAGACCCTGGTGAGGTGCAGACTGTGGTGAGGTGCAGACCCTGGTGAGATGCAGACCCTGGTGAGATGCACCTTCAAGCATAACTAGTACCTTAATTCACTTCTTTTGTCTGCTTAAAACTAACTAGTGACTAATGTGACTAAAAGCACTGAATCTCCTGGTTTGGCTCTTTTTAAAGGATTTTTTTCCCCCAAGAAATTGATCAGGAAAAAAAACCAACAAGGAAAAACCAAATCCAAACTTCAATTTAAACAAACAAATACATAAATGATTTCACTTTGGGGGTTCACTCAGGATGGAGCTGGGAGCAGCCATGCAGACTGGGTTTTGTCCAAGCTTTTCAAGGAAAATACCATTTTCATTAACTTCTCTGAAGCCACATCGATTCTGGGAAGCTTTGCTGATGCAGCTGCCTTTTCCCAGCACTCCTTCTGAGCCCTCACCCTACTCTGCCAGTCTGCCAACAAAGCCCTTCACCTTTGCTAGCATACTTCTCCCATCTCCCACCCAAAAAGGGTTTTTACAAGATTTTGGGAGCCACTTCTAATTTGAAATCCCATGCCACATCCTCCTGTGCTGCTCATGGGAAAGATAAAGTACTGAGAAATGCAGGATGATAAAATATTAGTCTGAAGATAGTATGAAAAGAGTATAGTAGTATGAATCCAGCCTTTTCTCAAGTGGCAGAGCCATCCCAGTGCTGCTGCAGAACAGCACTGCAGCAAGAGTAATGCATAGATGATGACACTGACACTCTTCATATCCTTAAATTTATAGCCATACACTCTCGAATTGGCAATGAACATTCGTAGAGCTGAAGTGCCAAACACTTGGTGCCTGTTACTCAGCACTGCTGTACTCCCTAACCAGCTTCCTTTGCTCCTGCTCTCAGGATCAAGCTGCACCCAATGACTCCACAATGGATTCATTTCTGTTCTCTTGATTGACCAGCAAAACACTTTGTAATAGCTGCTCAGTGCAATCACAAGGACAAGACTGACCCTTGGTGTGAGGAGAAGACAGGACTCACCCAGGACGGTCAGCCGGGCAGGTCTGGAGCGGATGGCAGCCTGGATGGCCTGGCACTCGTACACTGCGTCATCCTGCAGATCAGCTCGCAGGATTTTCAAGTGATGCTGTCCCGACAGGTGGTCTCCTACCACCAGGTAACGTGGATAACCTGCAGAATGCAAAGCATGAGTCAGGAGGCAGCTGGAGAGACAAACCCAAGGATGGAGAGTGTGGAGCACAGGTGCAGAGTCCCAGCACCCCACAGCAATGGCCAGAGCCAGGCAGCTTCCTCCCTCCTTGTCAGCCAGCCCAAAGAGAGAGAGACAGAACCCTCCCAAATCTGGGGAGGAGATTGCTTGTTTTACTCTAAAAGATCAAAAAAGAAGTGCTGATTAAGGACTAAGAAGGTATGGCTTAGGGTTTAGGAGATACAGCAGTGACAAGTTAATGATTGGACTTGGTGATCTTAAAGGTCTCTTCCAACCTTGGTGATTCTATGATCCCATGACCATCAACTGAAATCCCTAGGAATCATAGAATGTTAAGGATTGGAAGAGACCTTAGAGACCATCTAGTCCCACCCCCTGCCCTGGACAGGGACACTTCCCACCAGAGCAGGTTGCTCAAGGCCTTGTCTAACCTGGCCTTGAACACCACCAGTGTTGGGGCAGCCACAGCCTCCCCGGGCAAGGAAAAGAAATGAGCACTTCCACCAGGAAACCCACCACCTCCAGCTCCTCTGTGACCTGTCACGGAATTTCCTCAGCTCCTGAAGTCAGCTGTGGGGAAACCCTGGAATCCTTCCACAATGAGGTCTGTGGGCACTGACAGCTGTGATCAGCCTGGCTGGACACCCAAGAAGCAGCACGTGAGGGAGGCTGCCATCCCCCGTCCCTGGGTGATGAATGCCCTGTGCAATGCAGGCAGCTTGGCACACGCTCCTGTTTGTTGTTTCTCAAGCTATCACCAGCAGGATTTGCTCTCCTGAACCGCGAGAAATACAAATGATGGGTTTGTTTGGATTGTGCTAATTAGGCACTGGCTGAGCTGGTACCGTGTGAGCTGGCAGCTCCTCGGCTTTCCAGCAGCCTCAGCTCCCTTAATTGTGGAAGTCATTGCCATCAGCTTCGTCCTTCAGTGGAGCTGTTGTTACCCAGCCGTGTGGCAAGGTCTTGCATGGGCAGTTCAGCTCTCTAATGGATGTAAAAGCTGTGGCACAGAGCTTTGAAAAACAGTCACAGAGGGAACTGCTCACTGGGGCAAGTCTGGAAATGAGCAATTATATGTATTAATAAAAAATAGAGGGAAAGCAGCAGCAGGCATTGCACTTTAGGGAAGAGTGAGGTCCCTAGAGAGCTTCCTCTGGTTTCTGAGTGCTGCTGTTTGGGTAGGGAAAAACCGTCTCGGGTCACCAGAAGTTGAGCAATGTCACATATTGTCCAGTATCACATATTGTCACATATTGTCCAATGTCACATATGTACAACTTCTGCAAGTGGACAGAGCTGCAGCTCCCAAGGGCTCTGTGCCCTCCCAGCAAACACTCCCTTTGTCATGGGAAATATTTCACTTCCCAATTCGTGTTTTCTGGCAAAAATATATGGAATAACCTCTATAACTTCCCAAGCACTGCACTAGTCTTCACCAGCTGCAATCAAGCCTCGATCACAATGTGGGTGTGGGATTAAGTAATGATAATTCTGAGGCATTTGGTTACCAAGCTATAATTTGCCTTGAGGAGCTTAAGGAAACCACAAGGACTTGTGTGCTGCAATAAAAACACTTATCCAAAGCAAACAGAGGGTTGATCCTGGTGGGTCCCTTCCAAATCAGGAGATTCTCTGACTCTTTTCATTTCTGAGTGTATCAAAACAGACACTTCCAACATTTATAAAACATTTCATCCTGCATTCGTTTCCAAATGTCAAGGAACTCCAAGCAGAGCTTTCCAAAGGCTCAGGTGACACCTGTGGGAACCAACAGGATTTTTTTCAATTCAGAGTTTAGGTTTATTCCAAGTTTCAATGCTGATGTCTGGGCAGGGCGGAAGGTTCTGTAGTTAACAATAGCAAACATTATTCTCAAAGTAAATGTTGTGGCCCTGTGGGCAGGGAGAGCTCCTGTTTGCCTCGTGCAGGAGAGTGGTATCGTGACTTACTTGAGAGGTCCCGTCCGACGCCGAGGGCCAGCCCATCCTTGATCCACAGCACGATGCCATTGTACTCAGGGATGGCACACAGCAGTGTCACAGGCTGCCCAGCTATCACCACCTGGTCCTGGGGCTGCTGTGTGAAGGAGGAGGCTTGACCTGCAGAGGGGAACAGGAGAGGAAGAGGAGGCTGTCAGTTCTCTGGTGGTTTGCAGCGTGTTGCAGAGTCTTGGGATGCAACAGCCCAAGACGCTCATGGCACAGCACAAACTGGAGGTTAAGCTTTGCAGCAATTAATTATGTGATTGCTCCATAAAATCACCGTTTGGTTTGGGTTGGAAGGGACCTCAAAGAACATTTTGTTCCAGCCCTCTTCCATGGGCAGGGACACCTCCCACCAGCCCAGGTCAAGCCTCATTCTTGAACACTCCCAGGGATGGGGCAGACGCAGGTGCTCTGGGCAACATGTGCCAGTGCCTCACCACCCTCACAGGGAGGAATTTCTTCCCAATATCCCATCTAGCCCTGCCCTCTGGCAGTGTGAAACCATTCCCCCTTGTCCTGTCCCTCCAGGCCCTTGTAACAAGTCCCTCTGCAGCTCTCTTGGAGCCCCTTTAGGCACTGGAAGGAACGCTAAGGTCTCCTTGGAGCCTTCTCTTCTCCAGGCTGAACATGCCCAGTTCTCCCAGCCTGGGTCCATGGCAGAAGTGATCCAGCTCTCAAAGCATCTTTGTGATCTCCTCTGGACTCTCTCCAGCAGCTCCATGTCCTTCTTATGTTCCCAGAGCTGGACACAACTTATTTCCCACTTCATACACTCAGACAAATTTCTGCCATGTTTTTCCTTCCTGGGAAAAAAAAGTGATACAGCAAAGAGGCACCAGGCATTTCCTCTATCTTATTTCAAACTGTAGTGCGAGTGATTCAGCCATGCTGAACACAGTCAGAGAGTAGCAGGTTCTCCAGAAACAGCAATATTTTATATTACACATAATAAAAGAGGATGTTGGTCCTCTGCTTCTGAGCCTGGCTCCCAACTCATGTGCTCTCTGAAATCAGGATGTGCAGTTAACAGCCTGCTATAAAACACGCAGGAAAACAACCAACTGCTGTCATTCTCTCTCCTCCCAGAGTGTAACCTACTGGGATTTGCTGGGAGCTTCACACACATCTGGAGAGGAATGGAAGGACCAGCTCTTGTTCAGCACTGGCTTTTGCTAAGTCTTCATCATCAAACTCACAAACCATCTTACCCTAAGGAGCCAAACTCTGCAGCCTGACACCTCCTACCTCAGTGGTCCCAGCATGGTGGTTTGTCATCCTTCCCCTCACCCTTCCCCACCCTGAAAGCTGCAATAACAATTCACAGCCCCTGGGGCATGGCCTGCCAGGGTGAGATGTCTCACACCTCACGTGTGAGATGGAGCTTCTCATTTCCCACAGCAGGTACTCGAGTCAGTGTAGCCTCTTCCACAGCAGAGTTTGCTCATCATGATGTTGTATTTTAACTCTCTTAAATACATCATCATCATCCCTTGGCTTTGCCGTTACTGAAAGTCATGCTTAGAATCAGAGAATCCCAGACTGGTTTGAGTAGGGAGGATCCTTAAAGATCATCTAATCCAACCCCCTGCCATGGGCAGGGACACCTTCCACTAGAGCAGGTTGCTCTAAGCCCCATCCAACCCGGCCTTGACACTTCCAGGAATTCAAAGTGTTAAATCCTGCTTTTTTTTTTTTTTCTTTCCACAATGAGTGCTGTGTTTTTTCCCTTCAGGTCAGGTGGGACTTTGGGATGCCCCCACAGCACATCGCTGTGGTTCCATGGTGCCACTTTGCTCCCTTCTCTCAGCTCTGAGCTTGTAAAGAAAACAGTGAAAGCAAGAGCAAAAACTGAGAAAGCACCCCAGACCCAACTACACCTCGGGGTATCTTGTATGGCCCCTTGTCTATGAGCTAGCACATGGAGGATAAGAATCATTAAGGATGAAAAGACCTCCAAGATAATCAAGTCCAACCTTTGACCAAATACCCATGTAGAACCATAGAATCTCCTGAGCTGGAAGAGGTCCACAAGGATGACTGAGTCCAACTTCCAGCTCTGCACAGGACAGCCCCAAAATCTTAGAATTATACAATGTTAAGTGGTTGGAATGGAGCTTAGAGATCATCCAGTGTCAACCCCCTGCCATGGGCAGGGACACCTCCCACCAGAGCAGGTTGCTCAAGGCTTTAGCCAACCTGGCTGTGAACACTGCCAGGGTTGGGGCAGCCATAACTATGTCCTCAGTGCCACAATCTAATTCTGGAAGGCCTAAATGTGAGGCTGTTTTGAGATCTGGGCTCCCTGTGAGCACAGTCCTTTGTGTGAGGTTGTAGAGCATCTGAATCGCTTTGCCAGAGCTTATAGCTTTGCTCTGATTCTGGATACAGGAGAGATCTGAGAAAGAGAGGAGTTGGGAGAAAGGCAGAACCACTAGATTGCTCCTTGCTGTGTTACCTGTGGGTTTTAAACACCAGGAGCCTCTCTGGGTGGGAATTATTGCCCTGTGCCAGGCAGGAGTTCAGAGCTCACTCCCCTCTGCTGAGTGTCAGCTCAATACACACAACCCTACAGGGCTGAAGGAAAACTTTCTCTTTAAAACCAATTTGTTAAAGCAGAACAGACTCCATGTGATCCACCCCAAATCAATTCAACCCTCATTTACATTAGCTGCATTTAATCATCGACTGATGATTAATCTGAAACCAAAGGTGAGTGTGACACAAGTTCTTGCAACTAAACTCGTTTCCAGATGAGCTGCTGGGCCTTGCCCACAGGGCAGAGCTCCAAAGCTCCATCACTTTCCAGCTTGTGCTATTCCACCAGTGTGTGTCCCCATGGGAACACTTAGATTTCAATTTAATTTCTCGTAGCTTAACTTCACCTCACTCTCAGCTAGCCAAAGGTGCAGGGGGAAGAGCAGAGTTGTCCTTTCTAAATTGCAACTGGTTTACATATATCAAGTTAAAAAGCTTTGCAGATCTCCAGGTGCACCTCGAATACCATATTCCATGTATTCCAGAGATCCCAAGTCTCCCAGCACATACCTATATTCAAGGAACTCTGATTTTCACCACAGATGCTCCAAAAGGCCACTCCAAAAGGTGGTGGCTCTTGATGAGGTGCTGCAAGCACAGCAGGGCAGGTTAATTCCAGAGGAGATTCCAGCTTTTCCTGCTGGGGGAGACTTGCTGGAAGTCACAGTGGCCTCTGACACCAGCACAAACCCTTATGCTGAATTAAGACTTCAATACTTGATTTCCAAGGGAATGTGAATCAACTCTGTGTTTGTTTGGACTCATAAAGGAAAGTACTACTAGGATACAGGAAAATGTGGGCTAAGAGAAAACTCGGAAAGAAAGCAGGAAAAATGAGCCTTTTGCTTTGTTGCTTTGTTGTTTATGTTTTTTTACTGTACATTTTCTAACTGGGTTTTCCCAGCTCAGTCTGTAATCCTGACAATTCCCAAGACAGGGACAGTGCAGAGATGCAGCAATAACCCCAAGGATTGGTTTATCAGGGAGAGTGATCAGGTTGTCAGCAAGGAGCTGCATGAGCCCTAATGAGAACGTGGAGGCACAAAGTGATGTCTGTGCCCTCTGCAAATGCTCATTAAGCTGAGGCTTCATTTGGTAATTGCTGTTGGAAATAAAACCCTTTTTAGGTTTCTTTCCCCCCCCTTTTTTAATGTCATGATTTGTTTTAAAGAGGAGCCAATGGTCACGGAAAATCAGAGCAGAAACATGGCATATGTCTCTTGTCTTTTCCTTCTCTCTGTTTGTTCAGTGTGAAAAATTGTCACTTAAACCCATTTTTTAGACATCCAAGGCTCCATTTCAGCTACAAACAGCTCAGACTCAGTCACGGGAGAGGAGAGATGGGTGTAAGGACCTTAAGAGCATTACCTGGCCCCGTCCCTGCTCCATGGCAGGATGATCTCTCCCTAAATCACAGATAAAAAAAAAAGAAAGAAGAACTGAAGGCAGAGCTCAACTCACTTTCAAATCAGCTTAAAGTCTGATCACTGGCTTTAACTGGGTTTGGAAGATCAGAGGCCCATCCACGTTACAGCTTATGTCTTAATGTCAAAGGAACAAGTAATTTGCAGAAAAGTTTTAAGGGAGATAAGATACTTGACAGAAAATAGCTGGAAATGAGGAGATTGGGAGAAGGTGATGTACAAACGCAGGTTGAGCAGTTTCAGCTACAAGAAAATGGGCTGAAACACGTCAATTTGGTATTTTTCTCTTGAATGTTTACAATGTTATTACAAAATGGAGCTTTGGTCTCAAAGCAGGTGGTGTGACTCCAACCTGTTGGGCAATCAGGAGCTGCACATTCTCTGCCCTTCCACTAAATAGGGTTTTAGCAAAAAACCCCACTATCCCTGCTAATCCAAATCCCTGCAGAGACTGGAGTTCAGCAAAGAATCATGGAATGGTTTGTGAGAGACCTTAAAGACCATCCAGTCCCACCCTCTGCCATGGGCAGGGACACCTCCCACTTGCCCAGGTTGCTCCAAGCCCCATCCAGCCTGGCCTGGAACACTCCCAGGGAGGGAGCAGCCACAGTTGCTCTGGACCTGTGCCAGTGTCTCACCACCCTCACAGCGAACAATTCCTTCCCAAAATCCCTGTCCTCTGGCAGTGTGAAACCATTCCCACTTGTTCTGTCCCTCCAGGCCCTTGTCCCAAGTCCCTCTGCAACTCTCTTGGAGCCCCTTTAGGCATTGGAAGGAGCTCTAAGGTCTCCCTGGAGCCTCCTCTTCTCCAGGCTGAACATTCATAGCTCTCCCAGCCTGGATCCAGAGCAGAGGGGCCCTTGGAGCACCTCCGTGGCCTCCTCTGGGCTTTCTCCAAGAGGTCTATGCCCTTCTTGTGCTGAGGGCCTCAGAGCTGGACACAACTGACTACATGAACCCAACCAAGAGTCCAGACATGACACCCACACCAGCCATGTCCCATCTTCCACCTCCTTCTCACCTCCTGCTGCATGCAGGGAAGTGGATGTGGGAAGTGTTCCTCTGCCCTGTGGCTGCAATCACAGTGAGGAGGCACATCCATGTCCCCCCAACCCAACTGTAGGGCTGTTTTACTTCCACAGCTCATTTTTCCTC